CCTCCAACGGGAGGAATTATAATAAACCAAAGTGAATTAAATGGAAACCCAAATTCATATGATTTTAAGAGAAATGATTTATATAAACCAGAATTCGTAGCTTGATTGAACCTACCATATAAAAAGAGCCTGACTCGGTAGAATAAAACAAAATGCACACTGATATAATTTGTTTGCGTAATTGTTTTTCAACTAATAATCATTCGTTTCATGCAATGGAGAAGCACAGAAAAAATAAAATAATTTTATACGAAAATGAATATTAAAAATATATTTTTTACTTTAGTCTGCCATTTTTCTCACCAATAATACAAATTTAATAAAAGATAAGAGAAATTTGATGTGTGTCCGGAGCCGGTGAAGGTCGTTCTGACCAGACAACTCGGCTTTTGTCTTTGGTCAAACAGGTATGCACCATGCTTAATGCTTATATCTGAAATATATTTTATATATCGAAACCATGTTCTATTCTCAACTCTCTTATCACTAGGGTTTTGTCACATATCTAAACGGTCTCTCTTATAAGCTATTCTTGAATCTGAATATTGGGCGGCGGCGATGATACAGAGAAGGGTCGCCGTCAGATCGGCTTCTGTTTCCAGGTTGATTCATACTCTAAGCACTGTCTTATGCTGTTCCTCGGTCCGAGATTTACTTCTTCCGAATCTGGATTCGGATCTAATCTCTCTCACCGGGAGAGATTTGAGATCTGGATTCAGATCTAATCTCTCTCCCATCGAACTGTTCGGTCTCCTCATCTTCCTTCGATTATCAATTCCAAAATCAAACGGGGTAGAGTTGTGATTTTGTCAATTGAATTGCTTGGGGATTCGCGTGATGATTACACTTTGTGAATGTTTTGTATGTAATGTGTCAATCCGATGTTGTCACTTTCAATGGATTAACCATTGACAGATGGGTTTTGCACAGATGAGGCAGGCGGGCCAAATGTTCAATTTTATGGTCACGAGGGGATTCAGCGTCACGTAACCATATGATTAAACATTTGTTCTGCTTCATCTATGGTTTGCCTAGAGATGCAATGCCACGGTCAGTGTCCTAATCATTTAACATATATCGTCATGCTTTGATGGCCTGTGTAAGGAAAAGAGCTCAGTGTCATTACTTATGATGTAAAGGTTGAAGAAACATAGATGACACATTTGACATTTTCATCAAGATGGATGGCAAAAGAGTTGAATCCTTGATTAATAACGGCCTTTGTAGTGTCGGTCAATGGAATGATATGCCGCTAGATTATTCATCCTGGGGGTAGTTACCACCAAATGTTAATGGATTGATCAGTTTCTGTTCTCTAATAATGTGAGTGTTTCTAGAAGCTAAAGTGTTGCATTGTGTAGACGAGATTCAAAGAGGTTTGCTTGCAAAGTCATCGAGGTGAGGCGAAACAAATGTTTGATTTTATGGTTACCAAGGGATGCAAATGTTACGTGACCAACATTTGTTTCGCTTCGTCAAGGGTTTTCTCGAGTAGAGAACATTAATGATGTCCAAAGCTCTGGCTAGAGATACAATGTCATGTCTCGCCGTCACGGTCCGTTTTCTAAATCTTATAATGCATAAGGTTTTGTATGATAGTCTATTTAAGAATGGATAAACTAGAAGAGACTAGATTAATACAATGCAATGAAAAGGACCCGGATGGAGCTCGATATTGTTGAGCCTACTATTATCATTCATGGCTTGTGTAAGGTTGAGGATCATAATAAATATGATTACTGACCGTAGTAGATTGGGAAGAAGATTTTTAGAGCTTCTTTTCTTTGTAGGGGTGTCAAACGGGCCCACTCAACCTGATCTGGGTGAGCCCTCGCACTCAACCCAATGGTTTCAAGTTCGGGTTCGGACTGGCCCGTTCAATTCCGATTTTCGTGTTGCAAGTCAATTGAATTGCTTGGGGATCTGCGTGATGATTACTCTTTGTGAATGTTTTGTGTCACTCTAATTGATCATGCAATTGTCAACCCGATGTTGTCGCTTTCAATGGATTGATAATTTACAGATGG